CTAACTAGCTGAAACTAACCTATGACTGAACCATTCATCCTACTTCTATCTGATTGAAAGAAGTAAACGAGCAGCAAGTTAATTATCAACACTATATATCATAAATAATGAATAAATTAATTATAAGAAGGGCTATGTGAATTTATTTATTTGTGTAGCCGTCGAACTGGAATGAGAAAGATGCATATACATATGGCTAAGGTGCTAGCACTAGCTAGTAAACAAGCGAGTCAGCTGATCTAGGCCCCATTTAGGAGTGTGATATATATAAACAAGTGATCGACAGAAGAGACGGTGAATATATGTTTGACCCTAATTCAGTAGGGTAAAATTAAAGCCGTCATCTATCCACCTCTACATTATGATTCCAGGTTCTAGATTGTGTTCACATGTGTGGAAAATTCAAGTAATCCGTGACTACATCTGAAAATCTTTTTGACTAGTTTGTCTTCGGTCCAAACTTTGGGTAAAAAGTACTGCAGCAGTTTGTGCAAGAGGAGAGGCAGACAGCAGTACATATTTTTCGCTGAAGACCCCATTGCATGCAAATGATATATTACCTTACCACACACTGCTGGAAAATTGGACTGGCGGCACCGGAGAGTAGGGCGGCAGCGGTCGTCCTGTGTGGTTTGCGCCCATACAGATACAGCTGCCTGAATTTGACACACCTCTCCTTTTTTTTTTTAGTTTACTCAAACTTGGTTACTTAAATTGCTCTGACTTCACTTTTTTATCTTCTGAACGAACACGTCTCTATAACGACAAACTAATGAAGATTTTTGTAAAAGAGAAAAGAGAGAGATGATATATGGTAAAAAAAAACTTGCAAGGAGGCGCGTTTTTCCAGATACAACAAAGAGCGGACAGTAGGTACGTTATGAATCTTATGCTTGATAATGACTGAAGTAGTTATATAGTTATAGAGGCCCTTTATATGTATAGTGTTACAGTCAAATGAATTCAATGCTAAGTGCCGAAAGTGGAGACTTTGTTCCACCGCAATTGTTGGGTGTTCGGCGGATTGGAGACCAATGCAAATATACATGTTCATCAGACCTAGAATTACTTGCTAGCAAGCTATATAGTCACAGGCTATTAGATTGGAGATAGTAGTTGCAAATAATCAGCAGTGAAAACTTATGTACCGTCGGTTACACTACCACTACTAATGAATCGGTAGTAGTAACACATCATCATTGTTCATTCCAAAGCAACGGTAGTTATAGTGCCTTTTTTGTAATAGTGCAAGTTGATAAACCAGTACTACTAATATCAAGATGCTAGTCGATTCCTCGAAAATCAAATGAATCACATAAAGATAAATCGGGAACAAAAGAGAGCAAAGATAGCAATGGCTATACTCCTATATGCGTGTAAATTAATAAGAAATTTGAATCAAGATATACTAGTCTTTGTAGTTTGAAACCGACATGGCAGCAGAATAAGTCCAATCGGACAACAGTGACGCGTACTTTTCCAATCATGTTGTTCCACGTCCAGTCGCAAGCAGCAACTGGTGTTGTTCATCTTGCACCGACACTACAGTATGGTGCATGGAGCTGCACTTTTCTGACCTCAATTTAATTGGTTCTAGTTTTTTATAGGACGAATTAATAACACCATTGGAAAACTAAGCAAAAATAAGAAGCAAAAAAAAAAGATGAATATCATGCTAAACTGCTAAAGTAAGCATAATTAAAATGATGAGAGATCCAATCATTCTTGTCATCAAGAAACTAAAGAGATACTACGTTCGGCAAGATCGGATCCTATCGTTAGGCAGCACTAAAGCTGTCTAGTAGGCTCCAAGCTGTCTAGTAGGCTCTAGCTTTATTATATGTATTATTTTGTTTCAGCTGAGCCGCCAAAGCGTTGCTACCTACTAAGAGTAGGTACTCGGTTCCTAGAAGAATATAATTTTAGCATAGTATTATATATATTTTATTATCTTAAATATAACTAATTATAGATAAAAAGGTATCAACATTTATGATATGTTATTAGATTAAATACAAAATATATTTTCATAATAAATTAATTTTGGAGCAATAAATGTGAATATTATTCACTATAAATTTGGTCAAACATGACCTCTTTAGTTAGCACGCAATCCATAGTTGCTTTCCTTTAGGGACAGAGTTAATACTTCCCTCTTCTTGTCCACTAAATTAATTTCTATAGTTATTTTAAATCATTTTTTATGTTTAACCGAATTTATAAAAAAAGGCACAAATACTTATAACACCAAATAAACATATTACAAAAATATTTTTATAATGTATCTAATGATACTAATTTAGTATCATAAATCTCTGATGCTCTTTTTTTTAGTTTAGTCAAACCTTAAGGAAATGACTTAAGACACCTCTAGAAATTGATTAATTTAGGGGTGTGGCTAGCGTCCGGACATCCGGATAGACGCGCGCGTTCGGACGCCCGCGCATGTCCAGACGCTGCCCACGCGGAAGATGCAGTTGGCCACCAGCATGTGCTTGTTCTTGGCGAAGTACCAGTTCAGGCTCGTGTTCTTGCAGAAGGGGCAGCGCGCTGCGCGCGCCTCAGTGTGGAGGAAGTTGGAGAGCAGCGCACACAGGAGAGGAGGTTCAGTTCAGAGGCTGATTTGTTCAGGGGGCATATTTTTCAAGGAGGTTCAGTGCATAATTTTCTGCCACGTGGCAAATATGGACCTGCGATGTATTAATCAACAAGTTTATATATCCAGAAATGCATTTTCAAAGTTCCAAGGCCTAAAGTGACACCACATGACAAGTCCAAGGGCCTCTCATGCATTTAACTCTTGCAACATACATCGAAAATGTCCAAAATACTTGAAACATACATATGCAACATTGGGGAGGGGAAGGCCGGGCTGGTCAATTTTGGCCGTCGGTGTCGGAGCCGCCGGCGAGCCGCGGCGCACGAGCACCACCAGCACCACCTGCACTCGTGGGTGCCCTTGGCTCGGTGGGGGAAGACATGAGGTGCCATGGCACATGCGCCCCGGTGGCCATGGCGGGGTCAGCAGCGTGCGCAACGACGATGGGAGATGGACCAGAGCAAGCAGCACAGGTGTCTGGGACGGACGCGCGGCGAGTCTGGTGATGGGCACGGCGCGGTGGGGCACGGTGTGGTAGCCGACGAGCGCGCGGTGGGGGAAGGGGCGTGGACAATGAGTGGTCATGCTTCTTCAGGGCCGGGCGGATAAGCACGAAGGAGTGGGGGCGGATAAGCACGAGGGGCAAGTAGCACAGGTGTCTGGGACGGGCGCGCGGCGAGTCCGACGATGGGGCACGGCGCAGTAGCTGACGAGCGCGCGGTGGGGTAAGGGGCGTGGACAATGAGTGGCCATGCTGCTTCGGGGCCGGGCGGATACGCACGAAGGAGTGGGGGCGGATAAGCACGAGGGAGTGGGAATTTTGTTTTTTGTTTGGAGCCCGCTCCTAGGGAGCCGCTCGTCCAGACGGGAGTTACGGACACCCGTGTTAGATCATTATCATTTATTTAGCAACAAAGAGATCGAATAAGTTGTATATGCGTTGCTTATACAGTATTTTCAACGCAAACTTTGGTAGATAAACAAACACACGTACGCAAACCATATCCCTATGAGCACCTCCGAAGGACTAAGCCGGCAGATCTTGAGATTCACGAAGTCACCACGGGCGCCTCGATGTCGACAGGGACGTCGCCTACCACTAAAAACATAGCGCCGTTAAATCCTGGAATAAATCCAAAAAAATGCGAATACCCGTGCCAAGTCGATGACTTGAACCCGGGTGAGCAGGTTCCACCACACGGAAGCCAACCAACTGATCTATGATCAGTTCGCTTGCTTGGAGATTTAACCAATCAAATATTTCCTCTAGTCACAATAAGTGATGCTTTGCGGTTGTTTCTACCTTTGACAACTCTAATAAGTTACTTTTTATAGGTTGCATTTGAAAGTTTTCATAAAAAAATGTATTTTATTTTTTATAGATATATTAATTATGATAACAAAATATTGGTCAAAGTTTGAAATAATTGACTTCAGGCAACCCCCTAAACGTCACTTATATGTGACTAGGGAGAGTATTTATACTCCCTCCATCCTAGTATAGAGTGGCCTAACCACACCTCTGATTCAAAGACTAAGGAATATATTTAATTCTCACTCAATACTAGGACTATTACATCGATATACGCGTGTTTAGAGAGAGCACACCTTGTATTATAGGACTTAAATAAAAAGTGATTACGTCTTATATACTAGGATGAAGGGAGTATCTGTTAGCTAGGAAGCTTTATTGAAAAGGTAGAAGGCCAAACAAATATCACATTAATCATGTTATGAAGTCATTTAGAGCAAGCATAGCATGTTCTTTTTTTTTAACGAACCGGCACGAGAGCTTGTGCCTATTTCATTCATGAAGCAGGAGAGAGCAAGCATGTTCTATGCGCAAATTAAGTACAGAAGAAGATCAATTGCACAGCACAGGAGGTTAGAAGGTTTTGGTCAGAAATTGATGAGGCACGTCTACCAAGCCACCATAGGAACTTATTAGAGGGGCCACTCAAGGTTTATCTCTTAACCAACAAATGCATCTTATATAGGAGTATATGCTTGTTAGTTATTTTGGGGAAACCGTAGCTTGGCATGGCAAATGCATGACTTAATTAGGTGATTCTCCATGCGGTAGAGTATGAAATATTCAATGCGGCTGAATCTGCACAATCTCTGGAGACATCTTCTAACTGTTCATATTTTCTTGTTGCATATACTTCACACGCCAGGACTTATTGTCTTTTTCTCATGCAAAATATATTGGACAAAAAGATGACATAAACAACAAGTGATACATTCATCCTTTAAAAAAATGACATGCGAACACATCAACACCACACAATGATTTCACAATTGTTAAAAAAATATAAAGCTACAAAAAGTCATTGAACACGCATAGCTGAAGAACAAGCCTCAAAGATAGTTTATTCGCAGTTCATCATCTCTTAATGAACTAATTAACTCTTCTGCAGTTCTTCCTTATCTGGCCGTTGGAGCCCGTCAATGGTGTAATGTCACCCATCTTGATCATACCCGTCACAAAATCTGCGAAAAACGTGCTCTGGCAACCAACATAGGATTGGACCAGCGCGTCGGTGGCGCCACCGTTGAAGAGCTCTTGGTCAGAGTGTAGAAGGCCCTTCTTGCTAAGAAGGTTCTTGTAGTAGTTGTTCTCGAAGACGGTCGGAGTTTGAAGGTCCAATGGTGCCAGGTTGTTGTCACCTGCACCTGAGGTGCTTGGGCAACCTGATTGCCTTGTTTTTGCGAAGGCGGCGTCGATGTCGGTGTCGTTGTATATGTGGGCTCTGAAGTTCGTGCAACGTGCTAGCCCAATGGTGTGAGCACCTGGAAAAATTAAGAGGCAAATGAATCATCAAAGACAGAAGGAAATAAAATAATGACACATTATTACTTAATTAAGTAGTATTCAAAAGTATAGAAGAAATGACTGATTGACCAATTTATTTATTTATTTTTAACAAGGAGATTGGTGACTTTACTCAAATAAATTAGAGCATAAAAACATTTTCCTTTTTAAATAAACAGGTACCTTCTTGTGTAATAAATCTATATCTATATATATATTAATAAGAAAGAAAAAGAGGATCCGATTCTAGTTATAAAGCGACACAAAAGGAACATTATGTGTGGCTGTAGTTGTAGTTAATTGCAATCTAGCTGGGAAAGATGTCGACCGATCGACTTTATATATCGATGTATATATGCTTACTGCTTTTCGTATTCCATCTAATTAAGATATCGATCTGATGCAAACTGATCTTTCAACTTAGACAGAGAGAGTTGGTTGAAGTCGGCATTATCGCCAAGTTTATAACATGCAGAAACATAAAGTAAAGCTTTTGCACGCACAACTTGTTTTAGTTTCTTCTGGAAACTCATACCGACAGCCTTCGGGTGTCACAGTCACCTTTACCAACCTTTTGTGATTCAGTTCAATCTCGATGCCTATTTTTTAACAACTAATTAACATCCCATGTATAAGTCAAAAACTGAGCTGTCAATTCTGGTAAAGTGTCTACCAGCTGTTTATTTATCAAGTCAAGGTATTAAAGGTCCAAAGCTTGTTCGGCTTCTTTTTTCAGCCGGAACAGTGTTTTTCTCTCACAACAATTCAGTCAGAACAGTGTTTTTTCAGCCAGAACAGTGTTATTTTTTCAGCTAGCAGCCCCGTTCGGCTTGCTGAGACTTGGCTGAAACTGGCTGAAAAACACTGTTCTGGCTGAATTGTTGTGAGAAAAAAACACTGTTCCGGCTGAAAAAAGAAGCCGAACAAGCCAGCTTCTGGCTAAGCCGAACAGGCATTTTGGGACATGTCTAAGTAGTTAATTTTGAACATGTCTAAGTAGTAGTTAGTAGTACAAGTTTGTTATTTATATTAGAGAAAGATGGTAAAAAGTAATAACAAGAGAGTTAACAGTTTTTGAAATTTTATTACTCGAAGTTGGTAGGTAATTAATTAAATAACAGTGCAACGACGTACTTACCAGAGAGCGCGACCATGTCCTTTTGGGAGAGCCCTTGCGCGGCGAAGAGCGAGGTGAGGTTGACGAGCCCCGACGTCGGCGGCGGGATGTTGTTGTTGGCGCCGCTGAAGCTCGCCGTCGTGGAGTCCCGCCGCCCGACCTTGATGTCCCAGCTCGGCCCGCCCAGGATGACGACGCTGTCCCTGGCGGCGATGGCGAGGATGTCGGCGCAGGAGACGACGCCGGGGCACACCTTCTCGACGGCCGACTTGACAGCGTCGATGACCTCGAAGCCTCGCACGGAGCCGTTGTTGGGCGTCGCCATCTTCTCGCCCTGGAAGGTGGCCGTGTCGTCCAGCAGCAGCGACGCGTCGCAGCCCTATACATGCATGCATCATGGTGGTCAAATTTTGAGTACCATCATGCAGTGATCGAGAGCAACCGGTGATGGTATCATCAGAGCACGACGACGTACTTGGACAAAGCAGTCGTGGAAGAAGAGGCGGAGGATGGAGGCGCCCATGCGCTTCTCCTTGGCGATGGCGGCCTGCATCACCGACTTGACGGCGCCGTAGGCGCCGGGGCAGGAGTAGGAGTAGAAGCCCGTGGACAGCTGCGCCGACGAGGTGCCGGCGAGCGCGATGAGAAAGAGGAGAGCCACGACGTAGCTGCACCTTCTTGCAGCAGGAGCTGCTGCTGATGCACGAGTGGCCATGGTCTTCGTCTGGCGATACGTAAGCACAAGACGAGTGCAGAGCGTCCTTAATTTGCTTGCCTAGTTGCTTGCCTTGCCTTATTGCCTGGAGGAGGTCCATATTTATAGCAGAAACACCTGTACCTGGTTTCTGTGTATAGACTACGTGTCTCATATCGTGACCATGTATGCATCAAACATGATTACATGCATTACATCATGATTTTTGTGTATATATATATATATAATATGCATGTATCATCATCACCTACTGCTACTGCTCATCTGTTGGGCTTTGAGTTGAAAAGCAATCGACGAAATAAAGGCATGCAGGCAGGTGTTGGCCGGCCGCGCAGGAATCACGCGCTTCACACCAACTAGGCCAGATAGAGTTCGTTGGAAAGATAAGGTGCATCACTGTAGTCTAGGACAGCACCCGTGAAGTTGTGGTTCTGGTGAATGGGAACATTTGGACCTCTAGTACGTATCGAAGCAAACTGAAAGCCGACACACGGTTTGAGTTAAGCTACGACGACTCGGCCGACAGACCTACGTGCCCTTTTCTTAGCAACCGTCTAGCAAAGCTTTTTTCTGCCACGTCTCTGCTAGTTTTGCTACACATCATGTTGCATTGTGTGTATATATATATATACGTGCTCACCAGCAATCATGCATGCATCATGGTTCATGGATCCACGTACTGTTACGTTCACAGTCGTCATTTGGTTTTTGGTGATCAATTGGTCGTCGAGTCTCTCATCATCAGCACTTTATCATCAACTGTTTATTTATGTCATCTGATCGTCGGTGGAGTTTATCCGGCTGCATGCTCACCATTCCGGTCATCCACGTCGTCATATTAGATGCTGCTAGCTGCAGACATGCGTGCATGGGCATGGTCAACTTTGTTGGGCACTACTACTGACCTACACACTCAACAAGTACAAAGTCTCCTTTCATCAACTTTTACAAAAGTGATACTATATACTATGTGTCATAGCTCTTTACCGCGTATAGTATGATAAAATATGATATGCCCCCATGACCCATGCCATGCTTTCTCTAATAAAAGTGGTCATGCATGGTTCGTTAGTTCGTTCGTTAACAATCCAGCTCCATTTGTTCGCCACAACGCGTACACGCATGACAAAGAGTCAACAGTCTCCATTCTCAGAATCTTTTGCATTGCTTCAAAGTCAAATAAATTATCGTTTTATTATTATTACAATCAATCAATCAAAGTTAAGTTGTTGTGAATAGGACATGATGCATCTATCCAACGGCTCAGATCAGTTCATCAGCTCTGTCAACTTTTCTACAATGCATGGGCATGTTTGTTTGAACTTATCCGCCGGTTTATTAGTTAGAATTTACAGTATTTTTCTCTAAAAAATAGCTTTAGTTGACTTATCACTCGACTTTAATACCTGTCGAACAGGCCACGTGCCTGCACTGCACCATGCACGTACAGCACCAGAAGCATCTGATAACGTGTGATTGATGTTGAAATATTTGTTTGCAGGTGCTATGGTCAAAGAATGTGATAAAGCCATTAGGTACGGATCACTGTCCACACGCCCAACTACCCCCTTGGATTGTGGAGACTTGGCCACGCGCACATGGAACCCAAGTAGTACTAGTAAAACCCTGTTCACTTAATTAGTTTGGGCATTATTCTAGACAATGTTAATTTAATTCAAGGGAGTCAGATGGAGAAGACTGCTTAACTATATTAATTGATTACATGTTATTTTAATTTCAGTAGGTTTTACATGTAAGGTACATCACAATATAAAAAAATTGAATATTGCCTATCAACCATGTTTTATTTCAAGGCAGTGAAAGGTTGCAGCATTGACAGTTATTTTTGTCTACAAGAAGTACTAATTCAGACATTCGGTCTCAAGGTACGGTATGGTACTAAACTACTAGTAAATTAAACAGAAGAAAGTACGTGAGAACACTTAACCGTACGTGCATGTTTCCTCTCAGAACTACTAAATATACAAAGGATTAAATACAATTAAGGATATAAGATGTAGCTAGCATATGTGATTTTCATTTTGTCATTGGCTATAAACCGATGAAATGTCGCTGATCTGCAAAGATTTTGTGTTGATTGAGATTAGTTCGTGAGTGACCAGATTTGTCATCTATGTCACACCGGACCGGCTACATTGATACGTGTTGCTTGAGATTCCATATGGGAAGTTGAGCAGCATGGATCTTGGTGTAACAAGGGCCACACGATAGGGCATGTACGTGGGCGCATATTGTTTTGGGGAAAAATAGTTTGCTAGGGGATCAGGTGATTATATAAACAAATTAGGATATAAAAAAATTAGGATATTTATCTTCGTGCTTCCTCTCTCCTAAATCAAAAAATTGTCTACTACAAAGTTGTACATCAAGCCTTATTATAACTTTGTTATTAAGTTTGTATTCTGCATCTGACTTCGTATGAAAAGGTTATGACTTTTTATTCAAGAGAAAGAGAGAGATCATCTAAAATGTAGGCTCCACCGCCATGTCAGCAAAACCACCCATGAAACCATTTCCAAATGGTCAAGGGGGTAACTCAACCGGTTTAAAAATACAATAGGTTTTTTTCCAAATTCAGAACTAGCTTAGGGTAAAGCAGACTTTAATATATCGATAATGATTAGACCCGGGCGTCTGTCCATCTAGACGGCACGCGCCCCACTCTGCCTCGTTGGCGTCGCCTTCCCCACCGCGCACCGCTTGCTCCTCGTCCCCCCCCCCCTTCCCTCCCACCTTCGCTCATCCCACCCTCGCCTCTTGTTCCTCGCTCCCACCTACCACGCGCCCCACCCGCACTGCTAGCTCTAGTGCCGTCGCACGTGCCACCCGCCTCTGCTCTCCCCATTGTTGCCCTCCCCACCTCTCGGTCTCTCTCTCATACACCTTAGCTGGCAGCAGAGCGCTGAAAGCTCTAGTTTGGTTTTGGTGAATTGATGAAACCCTAAGTGCTAACCTAGTTCATCAAGTGATCATGAGATAGGTAGCACACTTCAAGTAGAGAAGCAAATGAAGATCATAACATGACAATGGTGATAGCATGGAGATGATCAAGGGCTTACACTTGAAGAGAAGAAAGAGAAAAACAAAAGCTCAAGGCAAAGGTATAAACCATAGGAAGCTATTTTGTTTTGGTGATCAAGACACTTAGAGAGTGTGATCACATTTAGGTTTGATAGCCGCAGTATTATTAAGAGGGGTGAAACTCAGATCGAATACGGTTATCAAAGTGCCACTAGATGCTCTAACTCATTGCATATGCATTTAGGATCTAGTGGAGTGCTAACACCCTTGATAATATTTGTGAAAATATGCTAACACATGTGCACAAGGTGTTTGCGGGGTTGAGATGGGTTTGGGTCCTCTCTCCCTCCCGCCGAGCTTGTTTCGGCGGGATTCGGCGCCGGAAAATGAAATGTCTATTTTCTATTGCGCCGGATGCAAAATTCTTGGTGGTTGGCACACTTGAGCAAGGGTGAAGAAGTAAGAGTTGAAATGGAGTTGATCGAAATGATCTGTGGCGCCGGTCCCGTGACCGGACGCCGAATCAGTATAACGACGCCGATCGTCTTATTGCGTCCGGTCATACCGACTTCGCAGGTATGATGGGTTGGGGTTGAGCACGGACGCTCGTCTGCGGTCGGTCAATGTGGACGGACGCGTCCGGTCGAAAAAACATGCCTCGGGGAGCTTATCGAAACGACCGGACGCCGAGGTTTCAGCGTCCCTCGTCCGTTTACCGGAGCGTCCGGTCAGCTTTCAGCGACCGTTGAAATCGACGAACAACATTTGAAGCAGGAGACACGTGGCGTGAATCACGTGACCGGACGCCGAGGGGCGCTGTTCGATCGATCGGACCGGAGCGTCCGGTCACCCCTGCCAGCATAGTGAAGGGGTACAACGGCTCTATTTCATTGGGGCTCTATTTATAGCCCCATGGCCGGCTCAAGGAGCTCTCTTGCACATTTTCATTGACATAGCAAGCTTGTGAGCCTAGCCAAAGCCCTCCCACTCATCTACATCATTGATTCATCATCATAGTGAGATTGGGAGTGAATCCAAGTGCATTGCTTGAGTGATTGCATCTAGAGGCACTTGGTGATTGTGTTTCATCATGGATTTCGCTTGTTACTCTTGGTGGTTGCCGCCACCTAGACGGGTTTGGAGCAGCAAGGATCGTTGAGTGGAGGAGGTGATTGTCTCCGACTCCGATCGTGGTGATTGTGAGGGTTCTTGACCTTTCGGCGGAGCGCCAAAAGGTACTCTAGTAAATTGCTTGTGGCTTGTGTGATCCTCATCTTGTGTTGGTTGTGCGGCACCCTATTGAGGGTTTGGCGAAAGTGATGCCAATCGGTAGCGTGAACCTCCAAGTGAGTGAATCGCCACAACGAGGACTAGCTTGTCGGCAAGCAAGTGAACCTCGGTAAAAATCATTGTGTTCATCATTGATTCCGAGGTGATTGGTCATCATTGTTATTCATCTTCGTGATTGATTAGTTCATTCATCTACACGCGGTATAACCCTCTTGATCACTCTCTTTACTTTATCATAAAACTAGTTGACAAGCTCTTTAGTGTAGCTAGTTGTGAGAGCTTGCATGCTTGGTTGGTGTGGCTCTTTAGTTAGCCTTTGAGAGCACACTAACATAGGGTAGTGTCATTGCTCTTGTGTGAATTGACACTATCTAAACTAGAATTGTGGTAGGTGGCTTGCATTTTTTAGTAGGCTAGCGCAACACTAGCTTCGCCTCATAATTGTCTAACCATTTGGTTAAGTGTTGTTGTAGAAATTTTTATTAGGCTATTCACCCCCCCTCTAGCCATTAGGACCTTTCAAGCGCCTCTCCGGACTCATCCCCAACCCCAGCGCCGTCGGGATGCCTCGCTACAACGGGCCACCACCGCCGCCCCTGCCGATGGTTGTTGGGCGACGTCGGGGCAGGCGCCAGGTCATCCCCGACCGAGCCAAGGGCACCCACGAG